TGCTTGGTGTTGGAACTGCAGAGCTGGCCAAGACACAGTGAAACTGTCCTGGAAGCTGGAAGCTGGTGGGGAGCCAGTCAGCAGAACCGCTGCTTTATGAATGAATGAAAGCATGACATGTTCCAAGAGTGGAGAGTAGTCCTGTGTGGCTGGAGTGGAGGGGATGGCAGAGGGGCAGAGGGGCAGAGGGGCGAGATGGGAGCCCCAAACGAGAAGACTTCAAATGTGGTGCCAAAAAGATGGACTCTTTGTTGGCCACGATGACAGTAAGACTGGGGAAATGCTGACGACTGATTTTCAGCCCTTCTTGTAAAGGATGAGGAGTCATCTGGAAATAATGTGTGTCTCTGTGATATTACTTTAAAAATAACTTTTTATTATGGAAAACTTGAAAAAAACACAAGAGAAATAGAACAGTATTATGATGCCTCTGTATCTGCCCTACGCCTTCAACAGTTACGAACTCATGGCCAACTTTGTTTCATCTATATCCCCACTTGCTTCCCTCTCCTGCGTTATTTTGAAGCGAATCCCAGACATCACTTCACATACAAAAATTTCAATATCTATTTCTAATAAATAAGGGCTGTTTTCAAGAACGTAAGGACATCAGTAGGTGAATAGATTAATAAAGCATGATCCATCCAGATGATGGACTATTATTCAGTGCCAGAAGGAAATGAACTATCAAGCAAAGACATGGAGGAACCTTAAGTGCACATTACCAAGTGAAAGAAGACGACCTGAAAAGGCTACATATTATACGATTCCAACTATATGACACTCTGGAAATGGCAAAACTATGAGACAGTAAACAGATCAGTGGTTGTGAGGGGTTGGGAAGAGGGAGGGATGAATAGGTGGAACACAGAATCTTTAGGGCAGTGAAGCTGTTTCGCATGATACGATAATGCTGTCACTATACATTTGTGAAAACTCATAGGAAGTAACTATGGATTTAGGGTGAAAATGGAGTGTCAGTGTAGGTTCACATGTACTACTCTGGCATGGGATATATTGATAGTGGGGTAGGTTGTGGTGGGGGGAAGTGGGGAGTGTATGGGAACTCGCCACTTTCTGCCAAATTTTACTATGAACCTAAACTGCTCTAAAACATAAACTCTATTTTAAAAAAAGAATAACATATGGGAGTGATGACAATGCTCGTTATCTTGATTGTGATGATGATTTCATGAGTACATATGTACATCAAAATTTATCAAATTATATCCTTTCAACATTAAAATTATAGTTACATATTATAAATGCCAACCGTACCTCAATAAGGCTGTTTAAAAAAGAAAAAAAAAAAGGAATAAAGTACTGATACACGCTACAACATGGCTGAACCTTGGAAAATGCTAAGTTATACTAAATGAAAGAAGCCAGATGCGGAAGGCCACATACTGTACAATTCCATTTATGTGAAATATCTGGAATAGGCAAATCCAGAGAATAGAAAGTAGAAGCGTGGTTACCAGAGGCTGGGGGAGAAAGGACTGGAGCTTGACTACTAACGGGTAGGGCGTTTCATGAAAACGTTCTGAAATCGGCGGTGATGGCCGCACAACTCTATGAACTGAACGCTTTTAAACGGTGAATTTTAGAGTATGCAAATTAAAGCTCAATAAATCTGTGTTTTTTTTTTTTAAAGGTGATAGGGTTGTTATGGGCTAAATGTTTGTGTCTTCCCCCCACCCCCAAATTCATATGCTGAAATTCTAACCCCCCCCACATGTGATGGTATTAGGAGGTGGGGCCTTTGGGAGGTGATTAGGTCATAAGCCCTCCCGAATGGGTAAGACACTCCCTATTGTCTCTGTTCTCAGCGGAGCAGCCAGAGCCTTCCTGTTGCAGCTTAAGTCAGACCCTGTCACTCCTCTGATGGAAAGCCCTCCACTGACTCAAGTAAGATCTGGCCCACCCAGCTCTGTGGCCACCTTTCTGACCCCACCATCTACAATCCCTGTTACTTGTTCTGTTTTAGCCACTTTGACCTTCTCCTGCCTCGAATCCGCATTCGTGGCTGCTTCTCACCCTCTTTTAGTGAATATCCTCCCCTGCTCCCACCCTCACCTCTGGACTTCGGTGATTCTTCAGTGAGCTCTTTCCTGACCACCTTAGTATTTAAACCTGCAAACTACAGCTAACCCACCACCTCAGTCTCTCTTCTTTGCTTTCTCTTAATCCACTCACTTGTCATGTCTAATATAGTACGCAATTTCCTTCTTTATTATTTGTAGCTTCCCATTGCGTGTGGGCCCTGCGAGGGCAAAGATCTTTGTCTGTTTTCTTCAATGATGTGTCCTCAACGCCTGTCACAATGCCTGGCACCAGGTGCTTAATAAATGTTTGTTGAATGAATAAATAATGATTGGAAGATAGTTTAGGGGGACAAGAAGAGCTGAGATGAAAGAGAAATAAAGCCAACAAATATTCAGATTGCTAAAGATTATCACCATAAAAAAAAAAAGGCAACACGTGAAAAGCATGGGGTGGCCATAGATCTTAGATGTCCCACTTCTTTGTCCAGAGCCTCTGGCCTGAACTGTCCTTAATAACTTGGCAGAAGTGCCCTGGGGTCTGGATGAGAGAGGAAAGGAGAGTCCAAGAGGGTGCAGGGGGCAGGTGGGCAAGAGTTGGGAGGGGTCTGAGTTTTGAGGGAGGGACATTTCTTATTTCCCTGTCAATGAGGGGGCTGGATTTGAAGCCCATATTTTGGAAACAACGTAGCTAGTAAGGAGTGCCCCTTTGATAAATGGGCAGATGAATCCCTATGGGGCTGATGGGGGTATGAGGGACTTGGGGGTGGGGAGGTAAATTCATTCCAGGGTTACCCACCAATCAGAAATGAGAAACTGGCTCCTGAGGAGAGAGGCCGCCATTTGAGAAAGGTGGGAATGAATGGGCTATGAAG